GAATGCATTATATAAAGTAAAAAAAAAATATTCAAAAAATATTTAAAATATAGATGTTTCTTTGGAAGTATTTGCAGGGAAACGGTCAAGCCAAATTCCTTCAAAATTATACTGAACATACAAAAATGGTGTGAGTGTAGCCCTGTCTATGCAAATAGTCACATTTAATAGATTGCGTAAAGCTACGTGAAATTTGCTTTTTTGTGTGTGTGGAAAATTACAATTTTGTAATTACATACAAATTACCACAATCATGATATTGAAATTTCCCTAATATAAGCTACAGCCAGTTATAATGTGAGCAAGCATGCACAATTTCATACAGATTGGTTAATACTTGAGAAAGTTATAACAGGATAAGAAAAGAAAAAATTAACATTTCACAACAAACGACGTTAATTTTTTGGTGAAAATATTCTAGATTTTTACCCCAGTCAAATAAGGAAAGCCCTCGGATTGAGCTTGTACCTCATCTAATTCAAGTCGCTTCCTCCTTCTTCCACTTCTCGCTACCAATGATGCTTCTGATGCTTTCTTCTCACAGTTTGTCAGCCGTAACGTGTTAGCAGAGATGAAAAATTCTGACATGAAACGTCCACAAAATGGTGGCATTGCCGCAAGGGGTGCCTCTGGGCTTTTACTCCATCATTAAAAATGAGTTCTGCAACGTCAACTGCAATCTTAATAGCTATTAGTTAATGGTATGTGTGTTTGGGGCAATGTCGCTAAAATTGTGCTGTTGATTGATTCGTTAGCGTTTTGGGTGTAGCCATCTAGACATTTTCTCAACAGGTCAGGGTTCGAGAGATCTCAGAAAACTGGCTTGATGACATCCATAAATGCTGCAGGCAGGGCATTTTTATGTTTATAATCCTTTTCTGTGTTGGTAGCAACAGCTATTTTATATGGGCACCATCTAATTTTGCAGAGATTGTGAACAGGATTTTGATATCCAGAGTTCGAGTTTGTGAAAATATATTGCCAAAACAGAATCTCGCATTCCTTTCAAGACATTCTTATTTCCTCTAATTACATTCCCATAATATTTCTGAATAGAGTCAATCTGCGTGTCCGTAAGCCTTCCCTGTCCACGAATATTCTTTCCATCTGACAGTTTCTCTCTCTCCCCCCCCCCCCTCCAAATTCTTGATCTTGCGTAGTCGAGTTCCCATTCATTTTTGCACGTGTCCGACACATTCTATCTGCACAACAGGCGTGTCGCCGTATGGCTTTGAATCAGAAACTGTTTTGAAGCTGTTTGTGTCACCATCTCCAATAAAGCGTGTGTATCTCAGCTTATATCTTTCAACTGATGTGAAAAAATAATTCTTTAGCGACTGTTGCTTCCATACCTCTGGGGGAACCATTATGTGTAGATGTACACTGTGATTGGTGATTTTTTCCCCACAACTTATAAGCTTCTGAATCCTTGTCTTGAGTGTTCCAGTAGTCACAAGATTTACACACTTTTGAGAGTATAAATACATGTGACACAGCCAATGAGCGTGGTTACCCCTATTTTTGAGGAATATACGCGGCTCATCCAGGTTCCATCTACAGACACATCAATATCCCGGCTATCCTCAACCGACTCTGTCTCTGCTGCGAATCTAAATTCTATACCTGCTACTTTCTTCATGCTAGCTGCCCAAGAGTAGCTAACAGCACTTTCTATTCTATCATTTATTAGTTTATATGTACTCTTCTGGACAGGCGGTGGAAGATTCATTGTTCCACAAAATGTTTGCAAGTCCGAACAATCACCTAATGCACAGCGCATAGCAAAGACAGCTCGCCTATTGACGGAGTGTACTTGAAAGCTGTTGCTGTTGTTGACACTAATTTCAGGGTTGGAATGAAAAATAGTCTGTCTTTTACAATTGTGGTTGCTGCATACAAATTTAAATTGACTACCGAGTCCTTGTCTTTCGTTCTCAGTAAGTCTGAGTTGGTTGTAACAAAATGCACAAACCAGCTGTGATAAAATCTGATGACATGGAATATCCAGGTCAACAATCCTGCAGCCTGGGCTGTCACATTTAGGATGACTGTTTACCTCATCACATTCTTCTAAATCTGTGCCTGGATCATCATCAGTGTCATACAGGTTTTGATTTTTATCGATGACTGACTGTGAGTGGACGTGACATTGTGAACGTCAACTTTAGTACTGGTTTTACTTTTTTTTTTTTTTACTACTACTACATGTCCAAAAATTACTTGTAGGAATGTCAATCTTTACATGTTTGTCGTCCTCAATAGTACGATTTAAATATAATTCTCTGAATCTCTTTGTAGCACTCATAAACCTGTTCCCGTGAAACTGTCGCTTACTTGAATGTTTACAATACTTTTTAATCACTTGACATTGTTTAGAAGATAACTTATACAAACGATTTCAGAGCAAACAAAATATCAACACGCTTCCATTAAGGCAGCCATTTTGATTGTTCCATCGGAAGGCCGTTGGTTAAGGGAAAACTGTTAGGGAGGCTCGCATTGTTGCTAAAGATATATGCATTCTTGAAAACCAGAATTATGGATTTCTTTTTTTTTTTCTACCCAAACCAGAAAGACCTGACCATCTTTGAACCATCATAACTCTGATACTACTTAACCGATTAAAACAGTTTATACACAGACGTGTGGGATATTGGGTAATCTTTTTTTTTTATACCAAATTTGTTTCGAAATTCACAACAATCACATTTTTTCATGATTCCCTGCTAGAATTGCCCGGGAAAACATCTCGTGTTCGATATTGGGCACAAAACGCTATTTATCTAGTTATAAAGTCACTAAAAGTGAATCTTACGCAGCGATTATTATTATTATTATAATATATATATATATATATATATATATATATATATATATATATATATATATATACAAATGTATGTCGATAGGATCTCACAGGCAGTATTTACTTTGTATTTTATTTTCTGGTACACTCTACTGGCGCTGGTTATATATATATGTAAGGTGTTTCCCAGCAGGATATCACACATGTGATAAACACCAGGTGACACAATGTGCCACCATGCGAATGAGGAACACCCTTGGAGAGGTCTCGGAAACCCCGTTCAGCCGTTAGGCTATATTTAAGGCCCGCTATATTTAGGGCCCCCGGCAAAAGCCAGGGTGGGGCTTCAAAATAACCAAAAATTGTTTTCCATATGGAGACGACGCTAATGCTGGTTATATAGCGCCCAGTTTCGCTCCACTCCAACTTACTGACCAGACAGACAGATATAAATGCTGGAAAAAAATTATATATATGCGGAAAGACTGGCAGACATAAAGTCATATAAATTAAGCCATTGAATTTAGTACAAAATATTATTTAATTTCATAAAATGAAGACACCAACCATAGTGCATAAGACATTTTTTTTATGTGGGAAAATTCTGACCCGCATTTGTTAAGTTCGACAATTTTCCGGTGACAATAGCCTGCACACTGAACATGGTTTTTGCGCTTTCCTTCAGGAATTGAAAGACACACACTCACACATTCTGTCAGCGAACAATGCATTAGGCTTTGTCCTTGTCATGATATGTTTGGAGGTTTGACATGGTGTCTTCATGTGGGAATGTGACAGCTGACACTTTATCTCGCTTTCTCCCTATTAACAAGTTCAAATAAGGCAATTGTAAAAATTACCCTAAATTGAAAACGCCACAGAGGGTTTGGTTTGGTTGCATAATTAACAGCTGCGACTGTTAATTAGAGGGAGTCGCTGAGAAGTTAGCGGCTAGACGCATAGCTGCGGATCGTGAGGTAGTGGGTTCGCGTCCTAACGGAGCCAGACTTTTTTCCCCCATAAAAATGACCTTGATTCCCAGGTCGACCCTGCCGTGAGTGGGTACCAGGTGCAGTCCTGGGAAGTAAAGGCGATAGACGTTATGCTGGCCACACCATAAACCAAGTGCCAGTTGCTGTATAAAAATATAGATCTAGCCCTATATTCCAAGCATAAAGGCGTGAAAAAGCGACCTTTTCATTTTTACCCTTAATTAGAGGTAACAGTAGGACCGGATTTTTAATGCAAATCAAAAACACAGTTTCTGAAGAGCCTGGAAAGGAAAAGAAAGATGACGAAAAAAATAACAAAGAGATAAGAGACATAATTCAGGCACATTAAAAGACAACAACAACAACAACAACAACAAATTCTGAAGAGAAAAATTGAAGACAAGCTAGCAGTCAACGATAGGTGTGGTGGGTTAGGGACACGAGCTGGCACATTAGGGCGCTTGTTATGATGTCCGCGTCATCACCTCTCCAGTTCAAATGTGTGTAAATGCCTTATCACCATAAGCATTCACGCTATGTAATCTCCAGAGAAAGGTTCTGGATGTTTGTCCACTTCTACACTATGTTCTTGTTTCAGAAGTTGGGTTTTGCGTACATTTCTTTGAAGTAGATTTAGGTTATTTTACGCAAACTATTGGTTTCTTGCCTCGCAGGCAGGTGCAGTTCGACTTTGAAAAAAATAATTCTAATTAGTCCCTATAAAAAATAAATAAAACAAAACACAAATAAATAAAAAAAAGAAGAAGAAGAAAGAGAAGAAAAACAAAAAGAGGAAGAAGAAGAAGAAAAAGAAGAAGAAGAAGAAGAAGAAGAAGAAGAAGAAGAAGAAGAAGAAGAAGAAGAAGAAGAAGAAGAAGAAGAAGAAGAAGAAGAAGAAGAAAGAAGAAAGAAGAACAAGAAGAACAAGAAGAAGAAGAAGAAGAACAAGAACAAGCAGAGGAACAAGAAGAAGAAGAAGAAGAAGAAGAAGAAGAAAAAGAAGAAGAAGAAGAAGAAGAAGAAGAAAATCATAACAAAAACAACAGGAACGTGAGAGCGAGATTTAAACACACACACACACACACACACACACCCACACACACACACACACAGACATGCACAAAACACTACTAGTTAACTATATATATAGATAACACAAAAATATGCCTGTATTTTCAGAGCGGATTTCACTAAAACAAGAAATGTTCAAATCGGCGCACCTTCACCTCACAATATGCATCCTGGCACTAACTTGGACTCTAGCCATAGCTTCTGATGACAGCGCCTCTACTGATATTTCAGGTGCCTTTGATGACAAAGAACCAGATAGTGATGTATTCACGTACATTGGGCCTGAAAACGAGGAATACTTCGATACCGAAGACATAGAAAAACGTGAGCTCGACCCCTATGGTTTCTACAGTGGTATCGGAAAAAGACGAGTTGACAGGTTCGGATTCGCTGGTGGCATTGGCAAACGGGAATTGGATCCTTATGGGTACATTGGACAAATTGGTAAAAGAAGACTAGATAAGTTTGGCTTTGCTGGAGGTATTGGCAAGAGAAGATTAGACAAATTTGGCTTCGCTGGAGGTATTGGCAAGAGAAGATTAGACAAATTCGGCTTCGCTGGAGGTATTGGCAAGAGAAGACTAGACAAATTTGGCTTTGCTGGAGGAATCGGCAAAAGACTAGACAAATTTGGCTTCTATGGCGGTATTGGTAAACGTCGAGTTGACAGGTTTGGTTTCGCTGGAGGGATTGGCAAGAGGCCTGTTGACAGGTTTTCTTTTGCCGGTGGAATTGGGAAAAGGAGGATGGATCCATATGGATTTGCTGGAGGGATTGGTAAAAGAGATGAATTAGACCAGTTCGCTTATGATGAAGATCAAGGCGGTATCCTT